TGGATCATTCCATCTTTGATGCTGTACTCCATGGATGTGTTATCAGGAAAAGAAGCACTCGCTGACCTGGAAGGGCAGGTGAATTTGTATATCGGATTAGTAACTACAGTTCAAAACCTGGAGATAATGGCAAAGAAAAACATAATTTAATATGATGAAGAAAACTTCAAAAATCCCATGAGCCCATGCATAGGCCAGCTGCCCACGCTGATCAGGCAACCAGGAGCAGCTCAAGCCATCGGGGGAATACCACAAGACTTGATCCTGCCTGTTCTGGAAGTCAGATGACCACACCATGGGTCACCATGACATGGCCTGAGCCCTGCATCACAGATCACTCAGTAAGTGGAGTGACTAGTTATTTCCATCAGACAATCAGCAGGACTCCATTTTATTCCCCCTTCATGGAACTGATGATTATTTGACTAGACGACCCCATGCACCGATTGTTCTGGAGTCCTGTAGTTAGGGCTCAATAGTCCGTCAGCATTTGTTGACCGAGCACTGACTGGGTGCAAGCTCTCTATCAATGACACTCCTGACCACGATGCCCTGAAGCTGGTAGAAGTTCTGGATGCTAACCCGCACTAGCAAGGCACTTCTTTCAGGCATGGCAGACCCATCTCTGATCAAGATTCAGTGGCTCCCCACCAGGGCCACACATTGAAGTCACCTGGGGCGGTGTAAAAATGCTGGTTCTGGGTCTCACCCACACAGACACTGATGTAATTGGCCCGAAGAGCAACCTGGCTTCAGGAGTTCTAAAAATCTCCCTAAATGATTTGAATATATAGCCAAGGTTGAGAATCACTAGTTTCTATTGAAACCAGAGCCCCTGGCCCCAAGAAATACGTGCAACAAATTTGTCCAGCACAGTCACTTTTTAACTGATGGCTTTCCACATCTGGGGTCAAGAGATAGGACTGGGGTGGAGGAGACAATCCAAAAGGGCTGGATGTCCTGATCTGACATACTCTGCTTGTCCCGTGTTTGTCTTTCCAAACTGCTTTCTGTTTTGCTTTTACTTCCTTGCTCATCTTTTCTCTCCGTAAGCCACTCTCGCTGCTATTATCAATCCTCTAATCTTTATCTTTTCTTTAAGATCAAAGTCCAAGCTACATAGGATCTCATTTATTATCAAATGTCTGTGCAAGTGAAGAAGAACCCAGGCTTTTGTTACCTGAGAGAAATCAGGGATGCACAGATCCAGAAAGGTTCTATCTGCCATGCAACTCATGGAACTCATATCATTAATAAAGCCAATGTATTTCTAGCAACTTTTTCAACGGACACAGTGCTTTTGCCTATACGTTCCATGGAATCCCCACAGCAGAAAATACTGGTGACAGTATTTTCATAACCAGAGTGACCACATGTCCTGATGTGCTCCCAAGTAACCCATCTGTTGTCCCAGCCCCGTTACAGGTAGCATTCCTTTTCACTCTTAGAAGTGTCTAGGTTTGAACATGAAATCATGTGGTCACCTTGTTTATAAGCACATTCCCTTTTTAAGAGAAAGCTATTGAAGTTCATAAAATAATTCTTTCAGAGTCATTTAGCTCCTTAGAGGCCAAAGCAAGACTTGAATTCAGATTCTGTGTTTTCAAACCTCTGCGCCATCTGTGGGTATTACAGCATATCAGAATTAGAGCTGATCCACTCTAGCCTTTCTTATCACAGAGGAAGAAACTGAAAACATGGGGAAATGATCTCTTAAAAGTCATTCTTAGGCCAGCAGGTGGCATGGAGGTTAAGACGCTGAATCGCACATGACTGACTGCACAGTTCAAGTCTTGTACCTAGCGGCTTGAAAATCATACCTCTGTGGCATGAGTGCCCCAAAATCCAAAAGGGGACTGGAAGAGAAGGGATTGTGGTGTGGTCATCTGCCCTGGGGTGTGATTTCTCATTCCTTCTCTCTCTGTCTCTGATGAGCACACATGCCCTATAGCAAAATTAATTAATTAATAAAGTCACTCTCTGGAAGAGGAGAAAGACTTGAGTGCACGGCAGGGATGGGATGGTCTCCTTGACAGTCCATGAGCACATTAGAAGGGATTAATAAATTACAAATAACTTCATCATGGACAGTACTTGAGAGCTTAATTTGGCAAAATAAGGTGCAAATTCGGACATATGGGTGTTTGAATAATAGCAAGAAATTTAGAGTCTAAAGTGCTAGACTTTAAGACTGAATAATGAATATTATTTGCTGTCTACCTTTGAGCACTCTACATACCCTCCCTGAGTACATGTGCTTTTCACTCTTCAAGTGGGACTAACCATCACTCTTATGTCCCTGGGCTGATACAAGTGGCACAAACCACAGCTCAGCAAGTGCTCTAACAGCAGTCTCACAAGGTCTCCGTGAGTCTGATTTGTTTCTTTCGTTTTTCACATGAGTGAACCGATTCTTGTAAACAAGGATGCTGAGGACTAAATGAGGTATTTATGTGAAGGTCCTTCCTAAGTCCTAAAATGTGTCATTTATTGTTGTTATTTTATCACCAGCAGTAGCAGGACCAATAGTAACAGATCATGTAACAGATATAATTTGCCATGGGAGAAAACCACATATCCTTGAAGTTCTGAGTGACCAAGGTTTGGAATGGTAGACTCAATGTGCAGGCCCAGTTGGGGAGTCTTTTCAGGGTAGGGGTTGAAAATGGCCCTGATCACAACTCTGGGTGGGGCCCACTCTGACTGAGAGACTTCATAGCAATCAATCTGCCCTGCCCTGCCCTGCAGAAAACACCTTGGTTACCTGACATCTTCAACAAGAGGGCCTTTCTTTTTATGGGACTCGTATAGCTTGGAGAAACTTTAAAATCAGGGAAAATTTGACTCATTAAATCAGGACATTGCTTGCCTCAAATGGCACAGTTGAAGGTTTTGGCAAATCTTTATCCTCAATATTTCCAGCCTTTATTTGTCTACATAAATGCAAGTAACTAACCAGATGCTGGAAAAATGAGGGGTGAGAGGGAAACAACTTTCCTATCTACTTTTCTATTACCCCAATCAATCTGGTTTCTGAGCCAGCGGCCATGAAGGTGTGCCTGGGTCTCAGGGATTGCTCACTTTCAGGGAAAAGACCAATGACAGCACAGGCATTTGAGAATTATTTGGGGGAACTAGGAGCTATGCAATGAGCTTTGTATACAAATGGAGAAACTCTCCAAAGCTGCCAGCATGAAATTCCACAGGCGCAGGTACACTTGGTCTCCAGGCAGAGCAGTGGGGCAAAGGGCTCCTTGGGCTCTAAAGAACCAATTTGTGTTTCAAGTGTCTTGTAGGAACTTGACACCTTGAAACTAGCTACTCTTAGGGAATCTGAGTAAGTCCTAGAATAGCTTTATTCAAGGAGAACAGCAAGACTCATCGCTGCTTTGTTAAAGTTTTCCCTATTCACTCCCCAGAACACAAGCCTGGATGCAGCGGTGCAGAGCGCCTGCTTCCAGCCTCACTGTGCAGCACCGTCCAGCCTCAGAGGGAAGGTGCTCTTTTATTACCTGGATCTGAAGAGGTCCTGGAAATACTGCTCAGTGATCCCCAAAACTAAATGAGGGCAAAGGGAACACCATGGACAGAACAGGTGACAGGAAGGCAAGCGTCACTGACAAGTGCAATTTTGAAAAACAAACACAAAGAATTGTAAAGTCCAGCAGAAGAAATCTAACAAACCTTTGTGATATGCAGAGACAACAAAGACAGATCACTTCCCAAAGATAAAATAAGTTACGGCTAATATTCTGTACTTCAGGAGTCAAAAAGTACCAAAGACAGGAAGACTGTTATCAAGGTTTATGGCAACCTTATCCTTGGCAAAAAACCTACCCATGGAACTAGCTTGTGGGTAAGAATGCTCAGGGGTAAAAAGACATCTTCACCCTTCTTCAGGATATACAGGCCTTGTAAATGCGGCCTGGGGCCCCTGACAGGCACCAAGACCAGATCCTTCTGCAGGTATCTCCGTATTTCTAGGGAAACCCTGCACTCCAAGGCCTCTGCCCTCCCCCTTTGTGAAAGGTCTTGGCGCCCCAGTAGCCTGGGGACTTCCCTTCCCCCAAGTACTGGCGACTCTTTCCGCTATGCCCTGGAGGGCTCTGCAGTGGCTCAGGTTCCAGGTTTCTGCCCTGTAGGCGCTGAAGACTGATCAAATGTTTCTTTCTCATTACACCAGCAGACCAGGAGCTGCCTTTGCCTCCACCTTCCCCTTCACAGGTTGCACACAAATTCCATACAGCAGCTTTGACTTTCTGCTGTTTCAGCCCAGGGATCGAGGCAACTGGATTTAATTTTGCCCGGTGCTCTTTCATCCCTTTCTGTGTCGGGCTGCCCGGGCAGCTCTCCCTGTTACCGAAGCTTACGGTGTACTGACACTGCCCTGCAGGATCATGACCATGACCCTGACAGTAATAACCCCGGGGATTTTTTTTTTTTTCTGCATCGCAAGTCACAAAGCAAGAAAAGATTATTGTTTCTTTCGTTTTTTATTTTAGTAGCTCTGAGTAAAAGAGAGAAAGAGGATTGTAAGGCATGTTATTTTTGCTTCTTGAGGGTCATTTCTTCAACGTTTCCTTCTCTTTCCC